AATTTGGGAGATGAGATGAAATGGAACTTTCCTCAAATCATATTGACTCTCCTTGAGGAAATTTCTTGGAAGTACCAGTGAGTGTTTCAGTTGAAGAAAGTTTTCTTGAAGAACCTGAAAAGTAACCTGTCATGGAAGAGACTGACATCAAATACTATGAACCAGAACCAAATTGACAGTCCCATAACATATTGTGATCACATGACTCAGGACTGTTGCTGATTGATATACAAATATGTTTGTGATTTTTACCATCATGATTAAGTTTATTTGTTTTCTTGAAAACTTTGTGATGATCTGGACAAGATATTGATATAATATTTCCATGTTCTACATCTATATTCATTCTAGAAATGAAATATATCTATTAATATTTAACTGTTCTAATTATATCTACTGCATAAAGTGGACAATAAATGAAAATTTCAACCAACATTTTTGAGCATTCTTGCTTCATTTTGATAATTTTTGTGTACTACCTATTCCTTTACATTTTTGACAAATTTTCCCTACATGAAATAGTGACAATACCTATCTAGTAATTTTGGCTTGTATGATTTTGTTTTTTGCATTGAGAATTGATGTTGCATCTTCCATCATTTCTAGATATGCCAGTGCTCTCTTGGTTTATACTTACTGGATTTTTTTCTTACTACTTTCATTACTTTTTTGGTGTTATGATAGGTATTCATCTTTCTTACCAATATTCCACTGACAATAAAATATGAATGAACTAGGTTGTTCAAGTAAACATGAATTTCATATACCTACCATCTCCAGTTTGTGAAGATATAGTGTATGATCAATATGAGAAGGGATTTCGAAGTTGTGTATGATGAAATATGTTATTTATAAGACACTGGTGAGCTCTAAATAAGTCCAATTTTGAAATAAGAGAAGAAAAAAACTACTGTTATTTTATAATTTTATTAAATGGGTGGAATTAACAGTTTGCCACAAATTTTCAGCATCTTTTATGATTTTCTAAAGGAATATAGGGTCATATCACACTTCAAGTAACTGAAAACTACCATTATTCTCAAAATTCTCCTGCTTATATAATGTACCTTCGAATGTCTTGCACTTTGAAGCAGTAATTCTTCCATAGCAAACTTCAAACCATGCTGATAATGATGATTTGTTTTGATTCACTATCATATCTTGCACCAATTCACAATCACTGTCACTGATATTCTGATGAATGAAGTCTTGGAATCCCCTAGGAGACAAATTGGAAGAATGTTTTCTGGACAAAATAATTAGCTTATGAATCAGAATCAAACTCTTTCAAAAACAGTTATCCTTGGCATCCATGTTTTCCATCTACTTCAAAAACTACTTCAAGAAATTTTGATGGAACCACTGGGAGGGTAGGAACTTGTTTTGGTGCTAATTCTACAAGTGGCATGAATGTTGATAGGAAGCTCAAAAATTTGGTAGTTTGGACACTGAGTTGGACACTTTTCAGTAACACTCCATAGAAGGTACAGAGGGTTCTTCTGATCTTCCATGTAACCATAATAAGAAAGCCACACTGTGTTTACATCTACCTAAGAATATAAAAGAATATAGTTTATTAAAAAGTCAAGAATTTATGTACCTTTTACCTTTTGAAACTGCACAATCCAGACTACAGTTTCTTCAGCTTCATGAACCTCAGCCTCAACCCTTTATGGTTTAGGACGAACTTTATGTTCCGGACTAATCTTCACCTTTATGAAACAGCTCATGCCAGTTTTTTTTAACTTGCAGAATTCAAAAACCATAGAAGATTGTGATTGCTTTTTCGAATACTGGCTTCATATCTCCAATCAATAAACATGAACCATCAGACTATGTCACAATAATAGTCACAATGATTTGAATATTTTGATTACACAAGAAAATATTAAGCAAATGAAAAATCAAAGAAAAACTCTGATGTTTTGATGTTTAGGAGTTCGGTTTCTTAGGTTAGGAAATATGTAGAATATTTTGAAGGTACAGTACAGCGTTGCCAAATGCACGCCAATACTTGTTACGTCATCACGTATCCGCCATTATTGGTTTTTTGAATGGTCCACAAATTTGTAAGGTTTTGCAAACGCGTTCTTTGGATAATGACAGCATTTATTGTTGAAAAAACTACTGGTACACATTATTTCAATGTTATATTTATTTATTATGCACATTTGAACTGAATTCGTGCTATTGTGTTCTCGCCTATTATATTAGAGTGTGTTTTTTTATGTGATATATTTGTTTTGTTTATTTCAAATATATATATTTTTTTAGTATAGGCATACCTACTAGTACTTCTTTTATATAATTCTGAAATCTGATCCACCCTGTATTTGTTTCAATTAAATGGCATCAGTAGATAGTAAATAGAATGTTAGGATAGGGACACATGTAAGCCATTTTGACAAATCAATATAGATATTGTATAGTTTCGATACAAAAAAAATCTCGATTTTTCACATTCTACGTATAGGTATACCTTGAGCTTGATCAACGAAATCATAGCTCAATTAGAAGAATCGAAAAATGTAATAAAATATAAGGTGTTCCATTTTGAATAACAAAGCTGCTACTACTATACTACTAAGTACTACATAACTACTAATAATAATTTCTAGTGAAGCAGATGAACATTATCGAAAATAATTTGAATAAAACGAGCGTCCTCGCCAACAAAACATAAGCATATAGCATATAATATGTACATATAGTTTCATGATTTTCGATAAGTGGTTCGCTATTTACATGTAGGACTCGTCGTGACATAGCGAATTATTGCAAATCAAATCATCGCTTTCATTATCTGATAGGTCGCAGTAGATCACTTGATGCCTATCAAATGTTTCTTATTTATTCGAAAAAAAAAAAAATGTTGAAATGTGATCAAGAAAACTGTTGGTGGCCCACCCCGTACTACAAAAACAAAATACAGCATGAGAGAAGCTGCCTGCCCACTCGTATCATGACTGCCTGCTTACGTCTCGGTCTCCCCACCGCTTAGGTAACGATCGAGCGTGTTCGGTGAACACACGGGTATGATCTCGAGACTCTTGTGTCAACAAAACGCACCTATGATATCCCTTCTGCATGAAAAAATGTTGGCAATTTTCTGAAAAAGTGCGACCGGCTTTTATAATAATATCAAATTTTGCTCATTTTTTTGCTGATGTTATTTTCACTATTTTTTTATCAATAAAATTTCAACAATGTATCTGTCGTTATCCTCGGAGGGGGAGGGGAGGAAATGTATCCTCTCTTACCCCCCTTAGCCGCCCATGCTCAAACAAACAATCCCAATCACAACAGTAAAAAAAATGTATGAGGATTACACAATATGTACACATTTATTGGTTATCAATTTATATAAAATGCACGTAAGATATAGGTACTATAACATTAATATAATGTCATGAAAAACAAGATCTATATTATCAGCCATCACTTTTGCTGCGAATGGGTTTGATTTTCTCTGATCGTGTCTGAAGCCTAAAGCAGGCGGTTCCAGACGACTCTTGTATTCGGCGAATGGGCGAAGAACTAATAACAAAACATTCGGCGAAATATACAGAGTGTTTCAGTTTGTTTATTCACATAACTATGTAGATTACCTATATGTTAATCCCTTAGAGACATAATTATATTAGAAGCAACAAGGGTCTTACTCCTCTGTACTTATTTGATGATGATGAATAAACATTATTATTATATCTCAAAAATGCAACATTTCAATTTCCTTGAAACCCAGTGGAGTTGTTTGTTACTGAAACACATCTTCGAGTGTAATTAAATCAGCAATGTATAGTCACAGGAGAGCTTTTAGTTAATATTTGCATGAAAAAAGGTGCACTGCTTTTCACGATATTTTATTATTTTATCGAGTTTTGCAATCAAAAAGGAACTTTTATCATCTCAGAGCTACTCCACTTGTCTGTGGTAAATCACCTGCAGAATTGTACCTCAATAGGAAATTGAGTTTCCGTTTGGATGCTATTTTTCCGTGTACACTCCACAAGTCCAGGACATCTTCGATGACTCCTCGTTTATTCCATGAAGGAGAATGAGTCCAGATCAGACTTTTCATTAATAATAAGAACGTCTGGCATTTCGGCGTAATTCAAAAAGTTCTTGGACAATGACACTATTCGGTTCCATTGGATTTCGGCCGAACACTGAAACGACATGTCGACCAACTTAGATCCAGTTTGGTTCCGAAGCCTACTGTTACCTTTGGACCTAGCATTCGATATACCAAGAATACCAGCAGTACCACAGCCACATAATATATCAGAATGTGTTGTTGAACCCGTAGAACCAAATAGGTATCATGTCCCAGATCTTCCTCAAGATCGACCACAGCGCCAGCGACGCCTACCTTCACGTTTTGCTGACTACGACATAAAGTCTTAAAATTGTTGTTAAGTTTTATTTTGATGATTTGTGTATTTTCTAATCATGTGGAGGAGACTGTCGTATCCTAGACTATTCGATATATGTCAATAGTTCATGACATACGATAATTAGTTTTTCAATAAATGTTACAAGCCCTTCTAATATATCCCAGTTCTATACAATATATATTGTCTATCATAATGTGTATTTTTACTAGTGGTTTGCTGTTTTATCGTCGATCTCATGAATTTTGTTTGGTATTGTTGTTTGTTTTTGTTCTAATATTGTATGTCCGCTGTTTTGTTTTCCTGTCATACGGCATGAGTATTATATTGTTGAACAGGGATAATACTGCGCATACTCGTCAACCAATATTTCCGAGTCGATCACGATTCACGCGGTACCTATATATGCTATTATATATATATGATTATATACGAGAAGCAAATGTTTGCTGAATACAGCGAAGAGACATTATACTGTCTCTTCGCTGCTGAATATAGAAGTAGTCTGGAACTGCCTTTTGTAATAGTTTGAGATAATACTAATGGCATTTCAATGGAGTTGATGTTTACAAACAAAATATGTCCCTCGAATAACAAATATGATCTTTATACATATGATGCTCCAGTATTTGAATTTGATCGCGTTGTACATGTTCCATTGGAATGTTGATTCGATGATCTTTTCAAAACGTGATGCGACATTGGACTGTCACTGAGTCTGTAGTTCTCTGCTTTTTTCTTGCAAATTCCACACCTAGAAAACAATAAAATCTACAATAACTACATGGTGCGCTTCATCAACATTACTTGTAAATGATATTCAACAACAACATGCACTCAGTAAGATCTCATAACATACACGTGCGTTTTGAGAAGAAAACTTCTTGGTTTAATTAAATTACAATCAAATTTTTATTTACGTAAGACTTTATTTGGTCTATTTACACAAATTTAGTCAATTGAAAAACATAAAATTTTTTAGCATTAGCGAGATATATTTAGGATTGAAATAAGAGTGATGCCACTGAATGTAGACAGCACATTATGCAATTTCTTGTAGCATGCTATGAAAATAAATGTCATGTCATTTATATTGTCAATTTCTTGAACAAAATATAATTGTATCCAAACATTTTCTCAACTTCATTTACGAATATGTCTGATATTAGTGAAAGTGATAAAATTATGAGCACTACACCAGAGATTTTAGAAAAAGCTCAATCTGCCACACATAATTTGTTACCGCTAAAATCCAGAGAAAGGTACGAAATTCCCTATCAAACATTTATCAGCCACTATATTAGTTGATGCAGGAGGGTGATATGCTATCATTAAAACGACTTGGTGGCTGGCAATTTTCTACAGTAGCGGAAGGCTATGTGAATCAATCTCTTAAAAATAAAAATGACAACGCATCAAGAATATCGGAGGCAATTACCAATTATCAATCTTCTTCTTCTGACCACTTCTGACCGAGCAGTACTAAAATTATAAATAACCGGTCATCACCATTAAATAATAAGGCACAATCGATTTGCAATAATTGTTTTCAATTGTTATTAACAACAATTATAATAAAGTTTGAACGATTGCGATGTTTTTTATTTAATGAAAAAAATTACGCATTACGCATTACGCACACAACTCTTGTTACGTAATATACCGTCAAGAAGTACAAATGCCTATGAATTAATATCATTCACACTCCCGTTCATCTCAAGATCTTTTATCATAAATTAAATTTTCCAAATTAAAACATTCAGTAGATTGTAGTTTCGATCAGGTCCACGGAGTTCATAGACGTCAGTTCCTTTATATTTTGTAAAAAAACCGCTTACCGCGCGATAATACCTAGGTAAGCAATATCGAAAGGTAACGGCCATTCCCATTGCGGAAAATTGTGAATCTAGCATCGATTTCAAATATAAATAGAACCCGAATCGATAAGGCAGGGGCATTATTAGTTCAATCGTTATTCGATTCATCACTACCAATTATTTTATTAAAATCAGTACATAACATTTATTCATCGATTGCTGACTTCCAAAGTGACACTAAGCCACTTTGGGGGTGTGACATCTCCTCGACTTTGGTGCTGCTGCCCATAACATAATGTAAGTACCAAGAACCATAATCTTGTTTCTGTTTTTCGCTCGTTCCATGTTTGTTATTTGCTGTTCCGCCCTTTTGGCACATTTTTTATGATTTCGTGATTAAATAAATTGTTTGTTGTACTTTTGAAAAACAATTCTCTTTATTTGGGGATGAATGTGGTTGGGTGATGAAATACTGAAAATTCTCTTGTGAAATAGCCAAGCGAGTACTCTTAAGTTGATATATCGAAGTTAAAGCGATGACTGAGTTGCGACACGTGGTGAAGGTCCATCTGAGTTGCGACAATACTATTAGGGCGTTATAGCGTTAACTCTTTCGGGCGCCGTGTCCACTACAGTGGAAAAACATGTGCAAAACATGTGCTTTCATATAAGTTTTAAACTGTAGGTGCGTTTTTTTGGTTTCCTACTGGTGGCAGTAGAAGTGACGACCAATAAAACGATGTGATTCATATTTGAAAGTTGTGACATTCAGCTGATCTTTTTTAGGATAATTTCGGGATTTTGCTGTTCATCAAGTAATACCGCAAATGTATTTTTTAACATTCAGAAGTAATTTCAGGATGAGTCCAGAAGTTTTTGAAAGTATTCTGGGTAGAATAGAGAATAATTCCAAAATATTTCCTGAGGCGAGTTCACTTCACGGCAATTTTAGGTCAGATTTTGAGGTTAGATTTTATAAAATACCACCATTTCCGCCATTTTATATACTCCCTCCACAATCGTCTTCCTGTCATTCCGTATGAGAAGACGGAATGAAAAGTTGAAACCAGTTTCAGAATTTCGTTCAATAAAACGACATGGATTGTCATTTCGGTGTAAAAATCTTGCCAATGAAACGCACCTTGTGTAAAAAACAACAAATATTGAATGATTCATCAACAGTAGGTGAGTGAATTGATTATTTCATGATTTGAAATATAGAAATCACCTAGAATATCACATATCTCGTAGTTACAATCGATTTCATTTCAACGTCCATTGAGATGGACAAATACTCCTCAGATGTTGAAGTATGTATGAAATTATATAATGATAACGGGTGGGGTTGATAAACCAGACTTTTTATTGAGCTTATATCGATCTCATTTAGGATCTAGAAAATGGCCCTTACGAATGATTATACATGCCATCGATCTAGCCTTGGCCAATTCTTGGTTAGAGTACAAGAAACAAGCTGAACGCCTTGAAGTTTAGTTGTTTAGTAGAAGGTCGGAATTGTTTTTTGAGATTTCATAATAAATAGTTTACTCTGTACTGGATCTTGTCTTGGATTTCAATTTTTCACCACAATTGACTCAACTACCTGAAAGTACTTTGTCCATTGAGGTGGACAAAAAAAAACAAATATGTTGTTTTTTCCACATAGAAAATTTATAAAAATAGAATGAAACCGGACTATAGGAAGAATAATTGTTTTCTGTACATCTTAATGATTTGGCCCCGAAAGGGTTAATGAGTAAACGAGATTCCTTACCATGCCACCAACATATACAAATCCCTCCTGTACTGCCCGTTCATCAGCGCATACAAATAAGGATTGGCACACGCGTTCAGCGGATAGAAGAACACCAGCAGAATCTTGGACTTGGTCACTCCGATCAGCGGGTAGCCGGCCAGAGCCGTCAGCCCGAAGAAGGCGATTGGGGCCACCGTGGCGAAGTCCACGAAAATCAAGAGGGCCATCTTCTTGGCGATGCACATCTCGCCCTTGGTGCTGGCCCTGCGCGTTTCGTAGCCGAGGCTGAGGTAGATCTGGACGTAACAGAAGACGATCAGCGCGAACGCGAAGCCGTTGATGAATATGACGGTGTACAAGTAGGCTTTGTCGATCAGCTCGTTGGTTTCCATCGGGAGGCATATGCTGGAAAATATCGACATGGAATCTTCCTGGTGCTTCGAAAAATTCACATTTCAAATATTGCATTCACAAAACCAGTTGTATCTATTGAAAAGGAATTTTTTCAAATAAAATAATGAACATAAGAAAATGGATACATATACAGGGTGTCCCATAAGTCGTGGATCAAAAGAAGTGGGGTGGTAGGGGGGTCAATTGCAGTCAAACTAACGGTATATGTGGTTATCAAATTGTTGATGGTTCAAAAGTTATTCAATTTTACTGAACAACGCGAACCATTTGAAAAAAAATAATAACAAAAGGCTGTTTTGAATATCCCCATATGTTATACCATTTCGGAATGTGTATTGAATGGGTACATTTTTATTTTGAATTGGTTATCTTCCTGGGCCGGTAGTTTTTGAATATGTCAGGGGCATTTAAAAATCAACCTAAATATTCCATTCAATGAGAAAACTCAAGGAAAATAGTTATTTATTATACAAGGGAAAAAAGTAGTAGATTTTAGCTCCAGGTTGTGTTGTCTCCCGACGCGTAGCGGAGGGAGACAAAAAACCGTGAGCTAAAATCTAATATTTTTCCCGTGTATAATACACTATTTTTTTCTGTGACAGAAGGAAGGACGAATCAATATTGAGAAGATATTACATTATTTCGAAATCTGAAAATTATCGACGTGAAATTTCAAGTTTTTAACAGTAGGGACACCTGCGTTTTATAGACATCTTTATCATTATTTTGAAGTAATCAAATATCTGATGTCACTTCTGTCAGTTCAATTCTGTGATTTGATTTTAAAAAATTGCGAATTCAGCAGTAGTTGTTTAGTAATATACGAAACCGCGAAGTCGAATGGAAGATAAAAGGACTTCCAGTTCTTTCTCGGAGACGGTATTATTGACTCATTTTTCGGAACTATAGCACAACAAAAGCCATTAACAGAGTATATATATGTGATATATATCCGGGAAAAAAGTACTCACTTTTTTCCCACGGGAAAAAAGTAATTTATGAAAAGTGACATTTTATAACCTGCCAACAGAGATGAAATGCCAAACTTTTTTCCCGTCACAGAAAAATAATATTTTTTCTAGTAATTGATAAGAACCATAGTAAGAACTAACACATGCCATAAAGCTATTTCTGGGATGTCATTGTGGATGAAATTTGTGGAAGAAAGAATCACAAATGAGAAATTGTTTTATTGTTATTCATTCTTTTAATAGGAATGAAAAAATAATAATAACTTTTGAACAATTAACAATAGACGAGTGGATTAATTTTTTTTCATTTCCTCAATTGAATCATTACCTACTCAAATACCTTTCAATTTCATATTTTTTAAGGATTTTTTTGGTCGATTTTTAGGTGCTAAAATCATCAATAATGCCACGGTTATTTTTAAACGGCTAAAAATTTAACGCCAGTATTAAGACTGACGCCACCATTTCGTAAGTAGTGGCAGACCATAGCACAGTTACCATGTGTTGAAATACGAAGGGGAACTTCAGAAATATTAGTTATTATTCGATAATTCATGAATTCTCAATTGAGTATTTGTGATACTCCTATAATTAGCAATAAAAATTCAATTGTCTCAAAATGTTCCCATATGATTTGTGGCTCACTGCTTATTTGTGTGAATAAGAATGATGATAATTCACACTAGAGGGCATTTGAATCGGTGAACGTGACAACCACGGCGCACGCATTGTGGGCGTGGTCTTGTCAGTTCTCAGCATTCAGCACAATGTTACCAGGCCTCCAACATTCATATGATATTTTGTTATGAATAAGAAATATTTACCCACACAGCACATGACATACACTGGACGTCCATTTTAGGTCCATCTCAATTCCAAACGTCCATGGACATTGAATGGGCATCCAATGTACGTACAAACATGGATTATCATTGGATGCTCTGAATTGTATGTACAGTGAATGTCCACTCAATGTCCAACCACTCAATTATGTAGAATGTACATTCATTGTACGTATAAAGTTGGATGTACAATGAATGTTCCAAAATTAACGTCCATTGGACATCCGCCATCTCACGGACTAAAACTCTCATGGACGTTTGATCAACAGCCATTATACGTACAGAGACGGACGTACATTGGACGTCCATTTAACGACCATTCTGAGTCTGAGCATTCATGAAAAAAGGTTTATGAAGGTTTATGGACATTGAATGAATGTCCGTTGTACGTTCAGAGATGGACGTAAGACTATTGTTTTTCCAGCCATGTGGAGGGGAGGCAAAAGATCAGATCGGTCGGTAGACAAGCGGTAGCGTCTGGCGTGATGCTGACGCCATTTCGCCATTTTCAGTTAGTAAATGACCGTGAACATGACGTGTTGTGTTTGTGATGAATTGTGAAATGCAGAATGTTTAGGACCAGATCATTCGAAGTATAGGTATGGAAGCATGCATGTTCGAATGTGACTCCATATATCTGATATAGTTATCAGTTATTACCTCATGCTTTCTCATCCTTCAGGTTGTTATTTATTTTCAATGGGCGGCTGAACAGGATTTGGGGTATGGACAATCGACTTCTACCTATATAGCAACTCATAATTTTTTTTACAGAAACAAGAATTCAAAGTGGACTGAAGAAGACATGAATCAACGATATATTTATATTTATGTAATCGTCACCAAATATTTATATCTGAATAGAAGAACCTATATTTGCTACCTACTGTTTCTTCATTTGATATCCAAAGTTGTGCATCCATTATACGCCCACAAATAAACATCCACTCTACGTCCAGAGGGGGTCCTCAGGACATCCAATAGACGTCCAATGGATGCTCAGATATCGACATCCATTGTACATCCGTCCATTGGACGTCTTCACGATTCACGATCCGAAGTGGACGTACATTGGACATACATGTGCTGTGTGGGTAGACATGCTGGTTGCTCGAAAAAGTCAAAAATGAACTAAAACATCGTGGGTTCCCCATATTATGTTTCATTCAACGACAGGACTCCAACATCTTTTTGATAAATTGATTATAATTGGTGACTTGACTACCTGGCTTCATGAGTGGAAATGAAAGATTTTCTGACCAATAACGGAACAGCATGAAAACTGACGCCAAATGGCGGCCATGAAGGTCCGTTTGAAATGAGCTCTGAAATTCAACAATTTCGAACAACGCATAGACTCATTATTTACATAACTGTGGAGTAATTGACTGCCAATAATTCATTATCAGTCCACTCGCCCATTGGATAACGACATATACGGTTAGTTTGATTGGAAATGGCCCCCCTCCCACCCTCTTCTTTTGAATCATGACTTATATGGGACACTCTGTCAAAAACATTGAGAATCCGCATTCTCTATGTGATGAAAATATCAATTCTTTCTCGGTTTATTCAACAGAAAACAACTACTTTCCTGGCTATATGCACGACGAACATTCGAGTACGAAATTAGCATTCCGTGCAAGTTATACACTTCAATTTTTTTACGGCCATAATAGATAACAGTGGCTTTTCGATTTCTTCGTCTTGTAGCCATCTGATTTCCTGTCAAGTAATGCTCATCTATTAGACAGAGCTGTCGTCATTGCATGAAATTCGACATTCCATGGGCGATGAGGTTTTTTTTAAATAATAACACAATGGAGTCATTGTGATATCAGATACGGAAATAAAATTGATGACATACAAAGTACCTCATTGATGTATCTAACACAGTAAAACAAGATCAATCTTGTGTTATAGCTTATAGCCGTAGAAAATTAGTATTTGTTATATACATCTTCCTTCCGTCATGCATACATATTCGTTTGTAGTAATTATTTTTGTAGGTACACATAGTATACATACCTAGTACTGCTGTAATTACTGACACCCAAAATGGGCAATGCGGCAACTGTTATCGAATAAATCCACCCTCCAAAAAGAATATACATGGCAGATCTGATAGATATACGTTTAGTTAAATGCAAGGCATATGTTATAGCAAACCATCGTTCCAAGGTAACAATGGTCAGAGTATAAATGGATAAGTGGCTGGAAAATACTGTCAGAAATCCTGCTATTTTACAACCCATTCCTGCAAAAAAAACATACTTCATTCTCACAAAATAATATAATATGTATGTACCTAGAATCTGATTCTGGAAATGTTTGTTCTGGGGTGATCCATTTGGAGCTTTAGCAATCGAAGTGAAGTCAAACACGAGAAATTTATGGCTAGCAAAAATGATTGTTTGTTCTGGAAGATATTCAATGACAATTATTATGTTTTTCCTGTGACGGAGAAAAAGTTAATTTCATCTCTGTTGACAGGTTATAAAATGTCACTTTCCATATATTACTTTTTTCCCACAGGAAAATAGTGAGTACTTTTTTTCCGGATATATATGACATGTATAGTGTGACTCACTACTAATGGAAATGCCCCTGTATCTTTCGTACATGTTGAGTTAGGATTCTGAAATTTGCAGGAGCGGGAGATATACTGAAAACACACACTATAACCAAGTGGTGTCATCTTCAGTGATATACACTGCTCTCCAACAGCTATGAAACCACCCACATTTTCGGAAAATGATATTAGGATACGTTGAAAATCACTTCCGATTTGAAATCAGGACCAGTTTACCAGTTTTTTATATTTTTCCTAAAAAAATTTCAGTTCTGAAAAATTAAATTTTGACTCACTTTTTATGGAAGTACCCACATATCTCACGTTATTGACTTTATCTTTGGACCCTCCCTTTCTCTTGCAAATTTCAGAACCCTACCTCAATGATCACGTGAGATACGGGGGTGCTTCCATGAAATGTGGGTCAAAATTCAATTTTTCAGAACTGAGATTTTTTCACAGGAAAAATATGAATATTAGTGAATTGGACGTCCTGAGTTCGAATCCGAAGTGATTTTCAACCTATCTTGTCTCTTAATATCATTTTGCGAAAATGTGGGTGGTTCCATCACAAAAAAAATAGTGTATTATACACGGGAAAAATATGAGATTTTAGCTCACGGTTTTTTGTCTCCCGACGCTTAGATAGTGGAGCCTTGAGCTGAAATCTAATACTTTTCCCCTTGTATAATAAATAACTATCCAGAGATGACTATGATCACTGGGTTTTTGTTCTTACACAAGTTGAGTTTTCTATACGGATACAAGCATCACAGATTATGTCGTAAAATCCCAAGTTGATACATTCGTGAGGTCTAGTTGCTACGAACGACATCTATCAAACAAATTTGAATTATCTTGAACACTTTGTGTCACAGGTCCAATATTGACTAAACTTTTCACAATTCTCACACGATTTGCTCTTGGTACATCCATCAATATAAATTCACCTTCGAAATTTCCGTAGGTACAAAATTGCGAACTATTTGCCAATTGAATGGTGCTATCTAAAAAAAAATATTGCTGATCTTTATTGCTAAAGTAACTAGGCTAGAACCGGCGACACACACACACCACGCCCCCCGAAAGGTTGAATGCCCAGGATCAAGTGCCGCCATATAACTAGCTTACGTTATATGATAGCTCCTCATCCCCATGTCCACCCACCCCCACTCACTAACGAGTGGACTTCAACCTTATGGTGCTTATGCATATGTTTTATAAAACCCATTACTTGGTTTCAGTCTTCCGACTTTTAAACCTTTTTGTCTAATGTGTGTTTCCTAGCCTGACTTTGCGTGGTGGTTCCCTACCCTAATGGGAAGCAAATTTGAGTTTATGTATTATATTATTATTGGTTCACTTTTTTATAGGGTATCAAAGGAGAGACTCTTCTGTTTAATTATCTGATGATTATTATGCAACTTTTATTGATATTGATTCAATTTCGTTCTTTTATCTTATATTTGGTGAACTGGGCGCCTGTACTTTATTCTTCCGAAGCGCGGGTCTTGATTTAATTGTCAATTAGTCAGGTCGTGCAGTAGGTAGCGGGTGTTCGTGGGTTTCCGTTCTTCCGAATGTAGTCTCCGCGTGTTGTCTTATGTAGTTGTCTATGTAGTCTGGGTTTATGTTCAGGTCCCTATAGATTAATCTATTTGGGATATACCATGGGGCATTTACTGCCATTCTTATTGAGACATTTAGAAATGCATGTACCTATTCGCTTTTTGTATGTTTCTGCGCATTGGCCCCATGCACTTGATGCATACAAAATTATTGGAAGTAGAATGGTTCTCATTAGGCGCAGCTTCAATTCTAGAGCCATGTTGCTTCTGCGACCTATTAGAGGCTGTAGATTTTGCCTTGCGGCTTTACCCCCTCGTGTTGAAGTTGTTCGCGGGTTTAGGGATATCTGCGGTAAAAATGGAGAAGAGTAGTGGTGAAAGGACCGCACCTTGCGATACTCCTGCTTCTAGCTCCCTCTCTGCAGAGATTTCGTTGCCAACTTTACATTGGCATCGCCTTCCCCGCAAAAAGGGGGCTATTAGCTTTACCATAGTTATCGGGTACCCGTAGTCTGCCATTTTGGTCAGACCCTGTCGAATGCTTTCGAAACGTCAAGGAAGACTGCTCCAGTATAATGTCCTTTTCCGAGATTGAATCATGCAATCGCGTAATCTACTATTCTGAGAACTTGGAGTTCTGTGCAGTGCCTTCGCCTGAAACCAAATTGTTCGTTTGGAATTACGTTGAGTTCCTCTGACATTGTTGGATGACGCGTTCTGCCACTTTGCTCATGGATGGGAGCAAACTGATAGGACGGTGGTTTTGTGGAAACGTGTGATTTTTGTTTGGCTTTGGGATCATTATTACTGTAGCAATCTTCCAATCATTTGGAAAGTAACGTAGTCAGGTACGCATGATTTTCATCGAACATTATAGGGATCCCCTTTCGTGCGTTCCAAGAGTTAAAAAAAAATGGATCACCCGTCATGAAATTGAGAATCGAGCTAGCATTATCCTCACCATATTGCCAATTGTATGCGAAATTGAAGTAGGCCCCAACCGAATGGTAATCCATCGAAGCAATGAGCAATAGATACAACCCCATGCAAAAATCAGCAAACGCCAGATTGCAAATGAGGAATCTTGCCACCGTGATTTCTGATTCGCCGAAAACCATTACTGTTATTACGGCTAAGTTTCCTAGTATGGCTAGTACGATCACACACCAAACTGAAATCCTCAGCCAGGAGAGACCCATGATGTCTTCGCAGGGGTTCAATGCGTTGGGCTCAGGAAAACATTCCACTTCAGGAATCCTAAAAATGAATCAATACAGGGTGCCCGTAATTCTAGCATAAGCATGGAGATCTTATTGGTTATCTTGAGAGATATGATGTTGCCTCTGATTTCTGGTGTTATCTTTCAAGAATATTGCGAAATATTCTCAATGCCGTTATTTCATAACACACGCAGAAAGGCACAAACGATAGTCAACTTTTTTTTCCATGGACCCCCCCCCCCCCATATTGAATTTTTATATTTCTGAATACAGTTTTTTTTCTGATTCTGATTCCTTCCTATCAGATGATATCTTATTTTCAGAGCACATGATATTTTGTGAATATATATACAATGGTCAAATAGTTATTAAAGAATATTTCACTAGAATGCTCAACGAATGATCATAGAATATTTCGGAATGTTTTCATCCTGCAACAATTATCTCTGAACATCCAATTCGACATATTTTCAGATTATTCTGCCGAATATTCTGGGTATATACTAAATCGCATCAAAATATGTTACTGGTGTTATTCTAGTATTATTATATTTCATTACCATATATTATAATGTTTCCTCTACAATGTTATACATATTTAGAGGCTTTAAAGCATCAATTTTTTACCAAGATATTCGCTGGCAAAAAAACTCCACTCACAAAAATGAATTCTCAATAATTGAAAATGATACCTATTTGTCCACCCCCTAATTCTTATATAAAGAAAACGCATTCGGATTCTTCTCCTAACAGTATTTATTCGAAACAAGTTCACTCAATGATTCAAATGTAATAAATGATTCATTTGGAATATTCGAGGAATTAACAGACCCTAGAAAATAAAGCCAGTTCTAGAAAGATTTGCTTGTTCTGATCGAGATGCAATTATAAATCATTCCTTGAATGGAAATGCACATGACCATTTGTATCGTGATAAGTAAATCTTTAGAGCTTCTTTTTTGGATTAGCCCAAAAACTTTCTGGAAAAACACAATTTTTTAAATTCATGAGATTTCAATCAACATCTCTAGGAAATGTTGCCAAATGTAAGATGATTAACAGTAAGTGTGAGAGGGCAATGTATGTAATATCAAATGATTGGGGTGGAGTGTTTAGTGGGTATACCATGGAGGGGACTCCCACACTATCATATGGGGGATTGGACCCATATGATGTCTATGAAAGATTTCAACCACCTCGGCGAGAAAAAAAAGTGTGAGAGGGCAATGTATGTAATATCAAATGATTTTCCTCAGAGTTTCGAACTCTAGTACGGAAATGTTTTTTCCATTGTCGCTACGAATATGATTTATGTAATTTTCGAATATTTCAAGAGCATTGAATCAATTCTTTGATGACGATTTGACAACGGAGTTTCTATTAACATAAAATATACAGAGTGGGCCGTTGAAAACGAAACAGAGGCTCTGTAGGTCGCCAAAACCGGATTATAAAAAAAATCTGAAACACGTCAACTATATTTTCGAGGGGGACATCGTTCTAAAATATTTTCAGCCCTGCGGCGTTGCCGCTTCTAGAGAAAAGAAGCAACAACTTTGTTATTTCAAATGAAACACCATGTATTTTATTGTATTTTTAGATTCTCCCCGAAGAGCTGATTTCATCAATGCATCACACTTGGGGTCCAGCTGTAATGGTTTCAGGGATATAAAGTGTTCAAAATCGAGATTTTTCAACTTTATAGCATTTTTTTGTGTCGAAACTATTCATTATTGGTCAAAACGGCATTCATGTCCCTGTCTCAACTTGTGATTTACTATCTACTGACATTTATTTGAAACAAATACAGGGTGGTTCAAGATTCAGAATTCTGATCACCCAGAGAATCTAAAAATACAATAAAATACATGGTGTTCCATTTGAAATAACAAAGTTGTTGCTTCTTTTCTCTAGAAGCGGCAACGCCGCAGGGCTGAAAATATTTTAGAACGATGTCCCCCTCGAAAATATAGTTGACGTGTTTCAGATTTCTTTTATAATCCGGTTTTGGCGACCTACAGAGCCTCTGTTTCGTTTTCAACGGCCCACTCTGTATTGGGGTGTGTTAGTGCTTGAATTTGAAAATTTTAATTAATTTGCCCAAGCAAAATGCTTGAATAAATCTATCCACTCAATTATGGATTATGATTATTTTGATAGAAATTAACAATGTTGCCGGGTGTTTAATATTAGTTACTCGATCGTATGGCAAGTAAAAGCGAATTGAAAAGGTTATATTGATTTAGAAAAAATCATTGTGATTGATTGTGTAAATTGGTTTCATACACTCCATGATATTTATCACTTTAATTTCGAAAACAGCCTTTGTATAACTCTGATAGGGGATATGGGAGTATCTTACCTAAACTTTTAAAAACCATTGTACACCATTGTTTCAACTTCATATATTATCTAATCAATATAGGTACGAATCCGAAAAAAAAATATCTGCTGCATTTCCCGAATCCCTAGAATAGTCGCCTGTATACTTTTTGCTGCATCCTGGAACAAAAAATAAATTCTATTAAAGAAATGCTGATTGAATAATTCGGGAAAATATCACGAACAAAACACACGAATATAATATGGCGAAGTCATCAGGATTCCGAGAAATACAGCAGATAATTTTCTAATGAACCAGAAGTAAACAAATATAGGTAAATTACCTACAATAATATCTTATATCTATTATAAAGAGGGGAGATTTGTTTGTTTGTTTGTATTGAATAGGCTCCGAAACCACTGGACCGATTTGAAAAATTCTTTAACCATTAGAAGCCGCATTATCCCTGATGAACATGAGCAACTTTTTACACGGGTAGTCTATATAGATGTATTAAAATGAATACCTATTTCCCTTGATGGTCACGCCATCACGCGTGAACGGCTTGACCGATTTCACTAATTCTCTTTTTGTTGTGTTTGTTATTGTCAGGAGAAGGTTTTTATGAGAGGAAAAATTCAGAAATTCAAGATGGCGGATCCAATATGACGAACGAGTTTTGTAATTATAATCCGATTCAATTCAAAATTGGTATCTGGGGGTTTTTGGGATCGGAGATTATGATTCTTTCCTCAAAATTTGAAAATTCAAGATGGAGGATCCAATATGGCGAACGAGTTTTGTAAGTATGACCCGATTCTATTCAAAATTGGTATCTGGTGGTTTTAAGGGTCGAAGATTCTAATTCTTTCCTCAAAATTTGAAATTCAAGATGGCGGATCCAATATCGCGGACGAATTTTGTAATTATGATCCGATTCTGTTCAAAATTGGTATCTGGGGGTTTTCGGGTTCGGAAGTTATGATACTTTCGTCAAATTTTGGAAATTCAAGATGGCAGATTCAATATGGCATACGAGTTCATTAATTATGATCCGATTCTATTTAATATTGGTAAATGAGGGTTTTCGGGGTCGGAGATTATGATTCTTCCATCATAATCAGAAAATCCACGAAATTAACGAACTTTGTAATAAAGAGTGCTTCGAGAAACTAATGGAGCACGCTTTCATAGATACCCAAACTAAAAAGAAGTAGAAAATGAATAGTAGTTTAGAAAACTAAGAAAAGACGCTGTCATGATTAGTCAATCTGAACAGAAGTAGAAGATGAAATAATAAAAGTGTGTTGTTGAGTTTTCAAAGAATATTTTCTAGAAATGATGTACAGAGTTATCCATCGAAAAGGCCCAACCCTATATTACGTCATTTTTTCATCAAGGAAAAAAAACAATGTGCGGAAGTTGAATGCCGCAATGAAATCTTTCCACAGCCCTAAATGTAGCGGTGGGCCTTTTGGTCTTTCTAATCATCTATAAAAACAACAAATAGAACACGGTTTTGTTATATTGAAAGTAGCTCATGTCACCATCATGGTAATGATAATATTTGAAATAGAAACGGACACGTATTGAAAATGAATAAAAGCACATGCTCTTAGAAAAAATCACAGGCTTATACTGTGAAAGAAATGCAGCAATACTATTATTATATAAAAATATACAACTGTTTATTATGCAACTAGGGGTACAGGGGGGAGCACTTTATGAATACAGTGTATGCGAAGACTGCATGAAACTTACCGAAATATAATTTCATCACAATGTGATTCAAGCTGCTGTTCGTCAATGTCAGCAGCTTCGGAATGGAAAAAACCTTCGTCCTCATCATCGCTGAAATCATCATCGGTGAATCTAGCTTCTTCCTTATCGATAGCTTTGCCTCTCAACGGAACCAACATGTCATTGTGGATATTATTCGGGTAGATCGGAAAATCAGATTTTTTCTTCGATGAATTCGAATGATTGCTGAAATTTAACGTTAGGTACTACATGCCTGGGGTCGGAACTATTTAAGTCCGACTGTCCAAGGCTACAAACAGGACGTCCGTAGGACGTCTGGAAACGGGATGTCCAAATATTCATGTTCTTACGACGTATCCCTATTTTGTACGTGATGCATCTCTGACACCTATGGCATGACCACTGATCAGTGGCGGATTTAGGTGGGAAGGCGGAAGAGGTCTCGCCCCGAAATTTTTCAAATTTTGCAATATATTTGTGATGTAATAACTCATCAACTCAAGTAATATATATTTTGAATAACAATAAATGAATCGGGAATATATTATATCAAAGCTGGATTTGCTAAAACATATGTTTTTTAATTTTTCTTCTGATTTTTACCATCGAAGCTGAGATCGAAACCATTTAAAATCGAGAAGAATACGATTTATTCTTCCTTCATGATATTCAAGAAATCACATGAATAATACGAATTTCTCTCATCACTTTTTAAGTGACGTGAACTGTCATTCAAAATATGGTGTCATAAAAGAAGCCATGAGCTGTTTATTTGATATCAATTTCTCACCATACCACACAAGAAAACTAAAATTCCAATACCAAATGTTCTAATCCTATTTTCTATAGTGGCCGTAGGTGAAATATATAATTGCATTCGATTAAAAAGTTTGTTCCGATTGCTGTTGAACATGACTTACTTTGACACCTAGGAAATTGAAGAATACTGTATTTTGTGACGCCGGTCCAGCAGTGTTTCTCGTGAATGAAAACTGAAAATACGCCGGAATCTATGATATGATCTAACGTGTTCAGGGCCAGATTTAGATTTGATATGGCCCTGATCTATTTGAGATATGCATGGGACGGACGTGAAGCATTGGGACAAATAATGCTGCAGTTTATTAAAGAATATACTACTTTCCAAAAAGGTCTGTAAAAAATCTTCTATACATATTCTTGAGGTCGAAATAAGCCGATTACACCAGTCTGCATGCTCCGTTTTAGAGATACAGGGTAGTAAAGTTGAAAATTAAAACTAAAATTGTTCGAAATTTATGAACGTTTTTGAACGTTTCACTTCAAAAATTGGTAGTCGGTTTTTTCTGGAATGGGAAACCTGAATACGGACACCTCTTAACTGTGGCCATTAGAGGGCGCTTACCAATGCACTTCTCATGGTTTAGAATGGCCACAACGTGTAGTTTTTGACTTTTTTAGTTGAGGAATTAATGTTCTGAACATTTTCAAGCAAGAAATCTACTAAAGCATAAAGTAAGCCTATTTTGAGATATTTTGGTTCTAAGTGTTCGATGGCGCACCGAAATATTTATATTATTTTGTTTATTGTTACCTTTCTGGATATAATTTCGTGAGTGAATTAACAGTGCAGAAATGGATTTTTCAAAATATTTTTTTGAAATGTTCTTGTCGATTTGTATTTTTTAACTTTATCATCCTGTATCTCAGAAATGGAGCAATATTACCTTTAAATCGGCTTATTTTCACCTCAGGAATATGTGCTGGGATTTTGTAAAGACCTATTATTAGGGACAATAATTATTGCTCAGCATTCGATCTTTTTTTTTTTAAATTGGTGAATGATTATCAAATATGCTGAGTCTGCTGATAGAAATAATGCATAATCATACTGATTTTCGTTTTTAGTTATTTGAATCCTTATATATTTTTCACGAATTGACTCTTTCAGATTGTTAAGCACATCTATCCATATTCTTCCAATATACGTTTATTTGCTCACTGTACAGAGAGTACATACATATTATATACCTTCGAATATCATACTAAATGACTGATTCAAAAAAGCAATGATGAAATTATAATGATTAAAAACTGAATTTTGGTAATATTGATAATACCTACAGTATTATATCGACCAAACGAAAAATAATAGTAGTAGCGACGCTTAACATACATTACATGGTGAAAGAAATGCTAAAAATGGCGAATCTCGTGTTGCAAAATCTACCTTTAAACAGAGCAGATCAGGTCCTCATTGTAGTATAATTATAGTTATCACCGTTAACACGCAACTATTTTCTATTCTGAAGAAGTGGATTGGAGCTGGAGATGTACACATAAGTTGTACTACTTACTATGTGGTATACTTCCATTCACCAGATTCTAAAGATCTCCTACTTCTCAAACCTTGTGGTTGGTTCAATTCCTTGCAAATTTTCTTCATGTTTTCTTCGAATATAGCGTGCTTTTTGGGGTTATGTTGTGCGGGATATTGGAAAGCACAACAGTGGAAGGAATGGGTCAGTCTAGCTTCCCTCAAATTCTAAAAAAGAAAAAATATATGTGAGGATGTAAGTGAATTAGGTGTTTCAGATTATAGTCGGGAAATCTTCAAAGGCAATAAAAATCGTAAAAATAAAAAGAAGATTTCAAGAAACTTATTTGTATGTTTCCGAGATTTGTTTTCTAGGTAATCATGGTGAAATTTTCTTAGAAAAAAAATATTTTCTATTTATCAGCAGATAAACTCCAATGCATTTTTTTTATCGCTTGAAGAGCATCAAAGAAAATCCCTATAATGTTCGAAGAGATGTCTCACTAGAATAGAATCACCGAGGCTTGCAAGCCTGTTTTGTGACTTCTATACCAGTAAGGCCATCTGAATGAAATGTATATCCTTATTTAAGGCGAAATAGCACCAAAGTAGAAAATGGTTGAAAATGAAAGAAAAAGGGTAATTGGGGTAATTATAGTAATTTGGGTAATGTCGAGAGAAATTGTATGATTCATATGTGTACGCCTTTAGTAAGTACCTAATTTATGATTGAGTCGGGTCCTTGTGAAACATTCATCACAATAATTTTGAAAAATAAGGAGAGGAAATATGTTTTTTTTGTTTTGAATATTTTCAATACAGACAGTATTTAAAAGTTTTAACGGTCAGAAAATTGGTGGCAATTTTTTTAGAGATACTTTCTCAATATTTTTTTACTTCTTTTTTGAACTTTTCCAAATTTCGAATTGTTTTCAGGTTTATAGGCAGAGTATTGAATATTTTGGGGCCATAGAAACGGAATGAGTTTTGAGTGCTAGTTTTACTGAAGGAGTCAATTTTTTTATTCAGGTTTTCCGTTGACCGCCGGGTATCTCTTGAATGCTATAGCAGAGATTTTCGAAAAACATTTCCCGTGGAAGTATCAATAGAAAAGTGAAAGATCGCCGACTTTACTACGGTGTTCCACTTGATGTCAAAGCGTAAGTGTGAGTGTGGCATCACCCACCAGGCGAATAGCTCTTCTCAGGATGGAATCTACTAGCATCAGCCTATATGTTTGGGTGCTGAACCCCATATGTGGGATCAGTATTTTATAACATGCCGTATCTGTGCTTTACAGATCATGAGATGTGTAATAGCTATTCATATATCTAGGGAGCAAAGGTATCCATGGAGGGCATTAGACACCCATGGGAGGAAATGAACCTTTATTGTTCCCAAGATATATACCGGGTGTCCCATTTTAATCTTTATTTGTAAATTTCTCGAAATGTATGCATCTGACAAAAAAAATTGCCGAATAAAAGTTGTATGAGAAACCAGGCTGTGATTTCAGTAAGATCTTCATTGAAAGCATTGACCTTCCTTCGCCGTGAGTTATTGGTTTCCTGGGAAGAAAGGGGAATTCTGGAAGAGAACTTAGTATGGAGAGTACCATCATCTGTGAAGCTGTGGATAGGGCAAGTCGTTCCTCCCAACAGAGTGAGATATGGAATTGATGAAAATGGTATCGGACTATCGGACGATAAGAAATCACATACAACATCGACTTTCAGTGATAAGTTGATGCTCGATGGCATAGCTGAGGTGGTAAGCCGTATGTTGGTATAGTTTGTTAAAGAGTCTTTGGTGCCAAACACACTCGAATGCTTTTGAATTAGTTTCGATATGTCTAACGCCACAGATAGAGATTCCCCATGTTTTTCTAATGAAGCTTGCCATATATGAGTGACGTAGGCAAGTAGATCTCCCGTTGATCTTCAGTGGCGAAAGCATGAACTATCCAGATATTTGATAAGCTCAATGTTGAAAACTTTCTCCATCACTTTGGAGATTACTGATGATAATAGGACCATAGGCCTGTATTTGTTGGGCAGGTCTTTGTTCCCTTTTTTGGGGATTGGTTGGACTGATTATTATGGAATTGTTTGTGAATATGAGGATGTATCTTTTGGAGTAACTGGATTTAATAATAATTCCAGTGCCAGCCCAGAAGGTTATATGACTATATTTTTATTCAGAGAAGATACAACTTTTTTGTTTGAAGAGTTTTTTCATATCTTTGCTAATTTAAAAACAAATGAAGATCTAGATATACAGGCTGATTCACGGAGGATGGCACGTTAGACGTTTATGGAGAACGGGACATAGGATCATCCTGAAATTTTGGTTACTCACGTAGTTGCTCTTGGTCTATCGATCTAAAATATTTTCAGCTCTGCAGCGTTGCCGCTTCTATCGAAAAGTAGCAACAACTTTGTTATTTTAAATGGAACACCCTGTATTTTATTGCATTTTCAGATTCTCTCTCAAGAGCTGATTTCATCGATGCATCACACTTGGGGTCTAGCGGAAATGATTACAGAGATATAGGGTGTGAAAAATCGGCATTTTTCAACTTTAGGAATTTTTTTTGTCGAAACTATTCATTATTGGTCAAAACGGCTCACATGTCCCTATCTCAACTTTTGATCAACTATCTACTGACATTTAATTGAAACAAATACAGGGTCGTGCAGAATTCAGAATCTTGATCACCCGGTATATGTCCCAATTAAATATCAGTAGATAGTTATTCAAAAGTTGAGATAGGGACATGTGAGCCGTTTTGACCAATAATGAATAGTTTCGACAAAAAAAATTCCTAAAGTTGAAAAATGCCGATTTTTCACACCCTATATCTCTGTAATCATTTCCGCTAGACCCCAAGTGTGATGCATCGATGAAATCAGCTCTTGAGAGAGAATCTGAAAATGCAATAAAATACAGGGTGTTCCATTTAAAATAACAAAGTTGTTGCTACTTTTCGATAGAAGCGGCAACGCCGCAGAGCTGAAAATATTTTAGATCGATAGACCAAGAGCAACTACGTGAGTTACCAAAATTTCAGAATGATCCTATGTCCCGTTCTCCATAAACGTCTAACGTGCCATCCACCGTGAATCAGCCTGTATAAATCAAAATTCTAAAGTATCCAACGTTCATTCAAGACAACTGTTGAGATCACTCCGATAGCCAGAATAAATATAATTTGAAGACTTAGAATGTTAGTACCTACTTCATATAAAAATGACAAAAAAAAATTAAGTTCTTGTATAATTTTGAAACGGTTGCCATGGATCAATGATATTCGGGCAGGTAAATAAACTCATACTAATGCACCTTTCTATACGTGAACGGCTTTTCAGTGATTATGTTTCATACAGGATGGGACAATTTTTTTCCGTGTAATGAAAGCATTCCTGACAGTGGAGACAAATTTGACATTTTGCTTTCACATTGATCGCGATATATCGATATGTTTTGACTTATCGAGAATTGATATGTGAAATATAATATCGCGCAGCCCTACCCTGGATAGGTAGGTGCAAACGGTATTCAAAATGTTACAATGTGCTTCGATATCATTCTGGAATACTCACGTTGAGATCATAAATACTTGGTATAGTTTTCATTGTTGGGGTACCCTCAATTTTGAGAGTTTCTAGCTGCTGCAACCCTTTCATCGGAAGACTATCTATGGAAGTCGAAGATAAATCTCTGAAACATTAATAATCGGAGGTAATACCACGAGTCCATCAGATATTATCGATAGTTTATTCAATTTTCTACGAAAACTCTTTTATTTGGCAAAAATATGAAAACAAACTGATTGATAAAATCACGAGTCCGTAGGGATAAAATTTGATAGACGAGTTGTATTTGTGAAGATTATTTTTTCACCGATTTGAGAAAAACACTGATTACACGAGTCGAAGAGATTATACATACATTCATTGTGTTCATTTTGAATGAATTTTGAAGCTCTCAACGCCGGAAATTTTTTGTAGACTTTGCTAGCTCGTATTATTTGTTGCGTCCTATCAATATACACTAATATCTGGTGTCATCACTGAACAATAACCTAAGAATGTTATTGTTTATATTAATAAAGGGATAGTTTTCATTCAGCCCAATAATAATAATGATTATTATTGATTCATTCATCTCATATAGGTAAAAGGATGAGAAGATAGTCAACGCAGGTGAGTCAAACTATAGTTTTGAACTATATAACCTATAGGAATGTTATTGTTCATGATAGGAATAAGGAATAGATTTATTCAGTCCAGTGATAATTATTATTCATTCAAGCATAATAGATATCTGTAGAATAATGGATTGCTATTGGTTGAAACAACAAAAACGTCACATTTTGACATTTGAAAAAAAGAACCGAAGGTAATACCACGAGTCCTGCGAATATTATCGATATTTTTTTTTTATTTTTATATTTTATATTTTTTTTCTAAAAGGCTTTTTTAATTAAATAAAGTTTGAGTGAGTATTCACAAAGAAAATTTTTTTCACCAATTAGAGAAAAAGATTAACGAGTCCAAGTCATTATACATACTTCTATCATGATTGATGGTCATATGGTTCTGAAGGTATAATATGAATAATATACTTATAAAAATAAGAAGAGAAATATCAAGTCTAGCTAGTTTTGAATGTTACCGTTTATGAAAGGGACAGTTTTTCTTCAGTACATTGATAATTATTATTGATTCAATCATCACACATACCTATCTCCTATCTCTTTATTCATAGTTTTGTTTTGACAGTTCAATGTAAATTTTCGGTATAATTCTGAATGATTGGCTAGAATAACGGATTACTATCGGTTGAAACAACGAAAACGTCACATTTTAAAATGTGAAAAAAACAATCAGTATAATTAGGAACATCATAATAATATTAGTAGGTACTCACAAGAGTCGAAGGCTACTGAGTCCATTGAACGCATTTTCACCTAAATTCCTCAGATTGTAATTTGAGTGCATGTATCTAGAAGAAATATGTACGTGGAGAGATCAGGTATTATGTCATCTGATATACCTACTCACAGTTCTGCTATCTCTGATCCATTGAAAGCATAATCTTCCACTGTTGTTATTTTATTAAAATTCATGGTCCTATAAGTAAAACATTATCCTATAGATATACATAAATACAGGGTGTCTGGTTCACCGACGTACACTCGTTTTCAGAAATCATGTCCCGGTTGGACGGTGTAAGGGCTCTTATTGCAGCAGTGATTTAGAGAGGCCAGAGAGCACACACCGTCCATGTGCGACATGTTCACTTAAGACGAGTGTACTAATATTTTGAAGGAGGTGATAGGTAAGTGCACTCGTCTTCAGTGAACATGTCGCGGTTGGACGATATGAGCGCTCTTATTGCTTATTGCAACGGTGATCAAGGGAGCTGACACCGTCCATGTGCGACATGATTTCTGAAGACGAGTGTACATATTGAACATGTTTAACCTCATAGTGAGTTAATAAGTACATTTATTTCCATTACACACAGAACAGGTCTGCCATTGGCATGAAGAAAGATTAGTCATTTGACAAAAACATTTGATAATGAAAAAAGTCTGAGCTCTATACATTTGGGAACTGCAGCGTCTTCTTACGAAGGCGTTGAGAGGCCACCAATTATTTTTCATAATTCCGATTAAGTATCTGGTCATTATTTAATACCGACTCATTATGTCGGAATTCCGACTTAGTATTTCAGAAATCTGACTTATTATCTTTGTATATTTATTCGGAATCCCGACGTGATAGGTCAAATTTAGGGGAGCAATTTGAAACTTTGTGATATATGAAATAGCAGTGTACAATGAGTAAATGATCAAGTACGGACTAGAAATTCACGTATGTTATGTTGAATGGAAGGTATATTATCTCTATTCTTGCTGACTTTTCGATTTCAGTTGGATTTCACTGAAAAAAAAATTATATGACAGCTTCGACCAGAAATTATCTTCGAATTGACATGAATATATGTTGTTACAAATTCGTTGATTGGCCTATCATTGACCGAAACTTGACAATTTTCAATAACGGACAACAGTTCTGTATAAAAAAAAGATTATTAACCACTAGAGCTATATAGAACCTTCCATTATTTACTCATTTTCAAGACGTAAAGAACGTTTTTTCTGTGACTGGAAGAAAGTTTGGCATTTCATCTCTGTTGGCAGGTTATAAAATGTCACTTTTCATAAATTAAATTAAATTTTCCCGTGGGAAAAAAGTGAGTACTTTTTTCCCGGATATATATCACATATATATACACTGTTGATGGCTTTTGTTGTGCTATAATTCCAAAAAATGAGTCAATAATACCGTCTCCGAAAAAGATCTGCAAGTCCTTTTATCTACCATTCGACTTCGCGGTTACGTATACTGGACAACCACTAAATTCGCAATTTTTTGAAATCAAATCACAAAATTATACTGACAGAAGTGACATCAGATATTTCATTACTTCAAAAGAATGATAAAGATGCCTACAACACAGGTGTCCCTACTGTTAAAAACTCAAAATTTCACGTCGATAATTTTCAGATTTCAAAATATTGTAATTTCTTCTCAATATTGATTCGTCCTTTCTTCTGTCACAGAAAAAAATAGTGTATTATACACGGGAAAAATATTAGATTCTAGCTCACAACACAACCTGGTGCTAAAATCTACTACTATTTTCCATTGTATAATAAATAACTATTCTTCCACCAAGATAGTTTTCGTCATTTCACGAACTGTTAGCCAATAAAGACTTATACATATACTACATAGCCATTACTGTTATAACTAACCCTGATTCACTGTTCTGATTTAGTAGATATTTTTCAATAACGATTTGTCATTATGCTGTCATGGTCATAGTGACAATAGGTCTATATTTCAGTTATTTGGCGAGCGGTGGAAAATATTTTTCATTACAAATCTTTGAAATCACCTTATTTTCATCTATATATCAGTAATATTGTAAGATGGGCATTTTCGGCTAGAGCACGGAAACAGCATACGGAAAAACTTTGAGAATAACTATGGAAACGAATCATACATGCCAAACACTGTATTGTCGGCATTGTTCATTCTCTGTCAATCAAATTTATGCCAACAAGTCAGAAGAAAATTCCTAAATTTCCGATAATATTCTAGAGCGAGCGGCACAAGCGACCATGAATTTATTACCAGTAAAATCCAGATATAATACCAGGAAATAAAAATGTTCCAAGTCTCTTCCGTGTCTTTTTTATGTCATATTTTATCATTATATTTTCACTTTCAACGGAATGCAATAAAATTTATCGTTCATTACACGTCCAGAAATGATTTTTCCAGACTCGTAATGCAATTTACTATAATTTACACCTTGGTAGTAAAGAAAATTATTACCCCGGGACCTTTTATCCCTCGGCTGAAGCCTCGGAATTTAATCTTGGTCACCTTGGTGTATAATTGTTATTCATTATACGAGAGAAAAAAGTATTAGATTTTATCTCGAGGTTGTGGTAGCGGAGGGATACAAAAAACCGAGAGCTAAAATCTAATATTTTCCTGTGTATAAAACACTATTTTTTTCTGTGACAGAATATAATCTTGGTCACTGGGTAATAATGATATTCTTCACTACCTTGGTGTATAATAGTTATTTATTATACGAGGAAAGAAGGTATTAGATTTTAGCTCGAGGTTGTGTTGTATCCCGACGTGTGCGGGGGGATACAAAAAACCGAGACCTAAAATCTAATAGTTTCCCGTGTATAATAGAACATTTTTCTGTGACAAGAAAAACAACAATTCAATATTGAGAAGATATTACATTATAATAAAATCAGAAAATTAGTTATGTGAAAGGACCCCGCACGAAAACACGGGAAATTGGCTCTCGGTCGAATTGGCTGAAATTTTACTATGTTGTTGTGGAATGGCTCATTAAATATGTGAGTTTAAGAAGTTTGTTTAAGAAGTTTAAGTAGTTGTACAATATTGCTTTTCATTCAGATACAGGGTGAGTTAGATTTTGTTGAATATTATTCAAAATGTTTCAACTCATGTTTCAATATCTCATTTTACTCACACTATTTCGAATATGTTGACTATCATATGCAAAAAGTTTTTAAATTTTTTATGTTTCGTTTCTGAGATATGCATCCCTATAATACCTGTAATACTGTGAACTCAAAAATTGATATCTCAGAAACGAAACATAAAAAATTGAAAAACTTTTTGCATATGATAGTCAACATATTCAAAATAGTGTGAGTAAAATGGGATCCAAATTGACGGAACTGTTTTCGAGATATTCAATTGAAACATGTTGAATAATCTCCAACAAAATCTAACACACCCTGTATCTAAATAAAAGGCAATATTGAACAACTGAATTCACTAGTGAGTTATACCTCAGCATTCATTCAATCAACGGTATCAATCAATCCTTTTCTTTGTGATCAAAAACAAGCTGTCAATTGTTTTCAAAAAGGGGTATATCACAAAATTCTAAAAATTCATATTTCGAACAGAGATAGTTATAAAGAATCAAAATACGTTTTCGAAGCCTACAATAGACTGAAACTTTAATGTCTCAATGTTTAATGTGTAAAAATTTAATGTTTGATGTATAACTTGTTGGTTTTGGAATAATGTTCGAATTGTTTTACAGAAAAATGAGTTTTTTGACCGTGCCTCGTATACACCCTGATTTACTATAATTTATGTGATTATAACTAGTCATGCATGTTTATGAGTTCCGATCAATACATTTTCTAGCTTATTTTGTTTTATTTATACTGAAAAAACAGTTTTTTTTCTTTGTCAATCCTACCCCGATACGACGTTTTTACGAACTTTGTCGGCTTGTATCTTAGAAACTAAACATACAAAACTTCTTAAACTAACATATTTAATGAGCAATCCCACAACAACATAGTAAAATTTCAGCCAATTCGACCGAGAGCCAATTTCCCGTGTTTTCGTGCGGGGTCCTTTGCAGTTTTTAACTAGTAGTACACTTGTATTTGCAGACATCTTTTTGTAGGCATATTTATTGTTGCTATGGAAACCTTATGACGTAATCGAACATGTGTCAATTTAATTATGTGTTTGGATTCAAAAAATTGCGATCAGTGGTTGTTTAGTACGTTATATAACCGCGAAGTGGAATGAAAGATTGAAGGACTCTCAGTTCTGTCTAGAAGACGGCGTTATTGGCTTATTTTTCGGAACTGGCGCAACAGAAGGCATCAACAATGCACCAACATATCCAGGAAAGAAGTACTTACTTTTTTTTCGTGGGAAGAAAGTAATTTATAACAAGTGACATTCTGTAACCTGTCAATAGAGATAAAATGTCAAACCTAACAGAATAGTTATTTATGTATCAAGGACGTGAAGTAGGCTTTCATGGTCTGCTGCGTGAATAGTGGCCCGATGGCGTCAGTATTTAACCCGGACAAGTAGAAAAACTGCAGTTATAACGTTTTTAACTCAAAATAAGTTATCTGATGTACAGCTTGATCCTTCTAGCTTGGCTTCTGAGAATTGGATGCGCAGTAGACCAGTCGGCGGAGTGGTGCGAGTGCTTATTATTGTCGAGTACGGTTGTACTTCCCAATAAAAAGGCATAGTGGATCTCTGTCGCACACTACCCATCTTTATTCATCGTTTGCGCATCTCAGGAGCCAAGCTAGAATGGTCAAGCAGACCATCGACTTCCATACAAGGAGACGTATTTGCTACTTACACTTGTTGAGCTGACAATCTAAAGGTGTTTGCTGGTATCTTCTCGATATGATTATGATCCATATCTCTGAAATCAATCAGGCGTAAAGATGAATGGAAGCATGAACGCTTATGCCATACCCTGTATATACAGGGTGCGGCAATAGTGCGAGTGCGTCAGAGGCCGGTTGCTTTGGTTTTATGATATAGCTAGCTAGAAATATGAATCAAAAACGGATGCGAACTAGATAACCGGGTCTATAACGCCATATACAAGGTGTCCCAAAACAAAGTACCATAAATTCTACAGGATGAAGTAGATACCAAAATACGAAAATAAACCGTTGAGCCTTGAGAGGGCGATGAAGAACAATTTTATATCCAGATTTTCTTCAATATTTCGAAATCCATCAAAGGTACTGCTCTGAAATTCGTAAGTCAATTTACTATAGTGAGTGTGCATGGAAAACATGTCGTACCAATTCAATCAATATACAGAGAAGAAATAGGTATTTCGCATTCTCTTTGATACACACCCTGTTCCGTTTAAAATAAATTGATCCCTCTTCTTGAAGTTTTTTTTTGGGTCATCCTGGGTTTATTTGGCAATTCTTTTAATGGAACCTGTTGTCTGGTTCACGTTTTCGAATCATGTCCTTACTATCATAGCTTACCAGAGCCATCGGACTCCGATGCACTATATTTATTGCTCGCCCACCCAATTTCAGTTATTCTATACTTACAGCAGAAACATGGTATTATTTGCTGGTAGGTGGCCAAGATCTGGGATTTCTCTTAGTCTAGTCCAAACAATTCTCCTAGAATTGGAAATTATTAGTAGAAAGGGATATGAAGCTTTCAGGGTTTTGTCATCTCTTAAAGCGCACGAAAACAAAATCCTATAATATTCGAAGAACATCGTGTGACGTGTGAACCTAGCGAGGATAGGAAAAGGAGGTATGTGTTGGAATTTCTTTCAACTTCTGGGCCAGTCGAGTTCGTCTGACTGGTATTACTAATGATGGAATGATAACAGAGATTTCTGAGAAACATTTCCCGTGGAAACATCTACAGAAAATTGAAAGGTCGCCGACTTTTCTACGGTGTTCTAATGAGGTCAAAGGATTAGTGAGCGTCGCATCACTTTCTCTATCACTTTGGCGATAGCTGCTATCAGGGCAGTAGGCCTATAGTTGTTGGGCAGGCTTTTGTTTCAATTTTTGGGAATTTGTTGGACTCTAGCTACTTATTTTCCAGCAAGATGGAAAAGTATCTGACTTGTACGAAATGGTAAATGACTTGCAGAGTATCGCTTCGAAAAAAAAATTGGTTTGGGGGCCGCATTATAAAATACTTTATATGCTACGTTATCAGTGAGGTATATGGTATATATACGAAGAAAATACGCGCTTATGTTATGATTTTGATTTATTCAAAAAATATTGTTAATGTGAAAATGAATTGTGCATATTCCAAAGGCCCAATGTGGGGGCCTTATATTGGACTGATCTAGAGTTCACCAAATATATACGACTAGGCTCTGGAATTCATTGCCTGAGGAAGTATTCCCAACAACATATAATCTCCAGAAGTTCAAAAAAAATTCCAATACCTACCTCCTATCCCTATCCTCCCTAGGAACATACGATGTTCTTTGAACATTATAGGGATTCCCTTTCGTGCGCTCCAAGCGATAAAAAAAATATTTTAGTGTAACTCCAAGAAGGTGGATAATTATCCAGAAAATGTGATACTGGCTTATTCTGGGCAACATTCGAAGACTTTGAAGTCATCAAGATACATTATATTTTTGAGTCTTTGGGAGATCAGAGAAGTAGTATCTTCATTTCTTGGTTCGGGAATATAGTTTAATTTAATATTATTCTTCAAGAGACCTCAATGACATTCCACTTTTCACTATTTGTGATAACGATTTTGAGAAAAAAAATATTGAGGAAAAATATATATAGATTAAGGTGATTTTAAGAGAAGTGCACAAAAAATGGCCAGTGCTGTGTGTATCGATTCAGGGGATCGATTTACACATACTAGAAACATTTTTTGATCAAAATGTCGAAATATATTGGGTGTCATATTTGAAAATTGAAAGTTGGGGTTGCTTCGAACGGGAAGTGATATAATGATTCTATCAATAGACGGAAATTTGGTATACTTTCTACCCATCCAATTTCAAAAATTTCAAAATCCGACCTTGAATGAGTCAAAAGTTACAGCACTGGCCGTTACTATTTGTGCACTTCTCTGTATATTATTGATTTGAAGTTAAAGTCGAATTTGAAGTTATGTTCATCCCCCTTCCAGTCATCATCATACATCTATTCGAAAAATTCAAATTACAAGTGTTTGATTGCGTTCGCCTTCATTAATGTATTTTTTGTGTGTATATAAAGTATAGGAAATTATACTCACAAAGAATAGAAAGTTGATGAAGTTACGCCCATTAGAAGTCCATGTAGAAACTTTATTTGTGGTGAATACGATATATACCTGGAATTACATGAATAGGCATATACACAATCTTATATTATATACAGTGTGAAACACTCCGAGTGTAACTACCCTTGCATTTCGGAGTAAAATTGAAGATTGAAAAAAAAATCCAATATGTATAGTAAAAACTACTTTTTCGACTAGCGTGCGGAAAAATCCTCTTTTCTGCACTCATTTTAGTGTTGAAAGAGTAACTTTTTCGCACTAATGCGGAAGAAACTTTCAACACTCAAATGAGTGCGGAAAAGAGGAATTTGGGTTTTTCTGGCACGCTAGTAGATATATAGATAGATATCGTTTATTTGACTACTAATACATAAAGTTGATGTTTGTAGGAAGTCATGTGAAGATGGATATTGAATGGATAAAAAACAAATATTGTGAACTATAAAGACAAACAAAAGTAAGACTACAGATGAAATCTAAACAAAAAGCATACAAGGTGGTAGAAAATATAGTGTACCTAACACATGCAGAAAAGTATCACTTTCTGCACTTGTTAGGTAAACTACTATATTATCAGATGGTCTGGAGATTGTGTCTGATTCATCATTTCTTGGCCTTCTGTGATTAAAACTACAACACAAAATTCTGGGAACTATATATTATATAATTATTTCATTTCAAGAACAAATTACATATTCTATTCCCTCAATCTCAAATACTCAAATACGGAGTTCAATCAGAATATCATAATTCGATGGTATTTTTGCAAAAGGGCGAATACGCCATTTTTGCAGGAAATCATAGATTTGGGATATTAGTACGATCTGTCAAAAAGACGATTGTGTCTGGTTGATGATAAAGTTTTCCAATGACGGCTAAATGGACTGTCTGACGGGTTATACATGACTGTTGCATTATTTGTTGACAAATTTTCTCACTGCCTGTCACTCATTGTCACTCGAGATTGAAGAGCTTTGTTCGAGGTTCGAGATACCAAGTAAAACTGTGAAAAGGCCAACAAAATAAAGTGGTTAGGAGTGTTCATGCCAAATAACGCTATTATATGCATAAATAATAATGCCATTCAAGTGGAAATCATCTTCGTCAATTCGTGAATAGGTAAGGACATGTTCAATTATTTCATTGATTGAATTTTTAACTGCCTAATAAGTGAAATGTACTGCAAAATTTCATATTGTTTCACAAAATCTGTGATCTTAAGTGATATTTCTTGATTTGTATTTTCAGGAAGATACTGAATTTTCTCAACACAATGTTGAAGCAGCTCTTGCTGTGGAGTTTATCACTGGGTATGAGATTCGAAAAAGCAAACCAGATATTTGATATACGATTATTCATACATTTCATTTCATACGCCAGAAGGCTGTAAATACATGATGAAGACACAACTAGCAAACCTGAATAAATAAACTACCCAGAACTAAACACAAAGAAGAATGCTTGATTGAATGAAAATCCGAAAAAGTAAAGGAATTTATCGATATTCAACAGAACACATCAGGGACCTGACAGTGACAGTGATAATAATAATAATTCAATATAACCTATGTTATTGGAAAACAACCGAATAAGAGCTAAACAAATGACTTCTCCGCAAAGGACGGCAAGTAAACCCCTCTGGTGGAGAATACACTGAACTGTGTGATTGGACAGTCATGTAGTACTCGTCAGACAGTCCATCGAGCCGTCATTGAAGTTTTCATAGTGAAAAAACAAATTCACATTGGGGCGAATGTGTTCATTATTTTTCGGCATAAGGGCGAATGTAGCGAATGTTAAATACAAAAGGACGAATGTTCTTACACGTCAATCACGTCATATTAGAAAATCTAACCTGTCTTAGTTTAGATCAATAAAGAATGTCAGCAGTACTGTTTTGCACTGAAATTGGCGAGAAAATGTCTGATAGGGCAAGATATATAGCGAATATCGGCTGTGAAAGTTATAATAAAGAGATTACACTTAGGAGCAATGTCAATTTGATGAGGAAAAATAGCGATGTAGCGACTGAGAATGTTACAGATGTTTGTGGGGCTACATCAAATAGTGTCGACTGTAAAACAGACAGTAGTTGTCTTCATGCCTTCCACGAATATGCGAGGCGAGCAAACAGATCCTTTGAGAGAAGTAGTGTCCACTGGAGTGTATTTTCAAAATGAAATATCCTCTTCATTCAACGAAACTTTCATAGGTTGATTCGATCTCAAGTGATTCAGAGGCTGTGGAACATAATATTTTTGACATTCCTCTCGATATTACTAACATGGATGTTGTTTTCGAAGAAAATATCAACATTACTGAAATAACAAGTCTTTCAAGTTTCAGGCATACAAACCAAAAACCCAGATTTAATTGAATGTATTCACCCTATTTCACATACACTTGACTCATATACCTACTATATTACATACTTTCCAAAAATTCACAGAACTGAAGCCGGAACATCTGTGAAAATCAGACAGAAGGATTACATTCAGCAAAAGCGTTCCGGGAACTTTCGTTTGCAGAACCTCATTTTCTCATTCTTCACCAGAGTTTATGATTAGTTTTCCGGAAAAGGTTGAAAGAGCATCATCCACTAATACAATCAAGCAACTCATGAAACGAAACTCCCAATAGTCTCAAAAAAGTATTTGGGTTTGAGAAGCTTATGCAATAATCTTACAATACCAAAGAATTATCGTCAAGAGTTTATTTCTATTCCCTATAAATCTGATATTCAGGATGTTTCGCCAGGAACGGATGAAGAAGACGAATCTAATAATTGTGACCAGTAGCTTCTAAGATGAAACACATGTTTTTTTCAATTTTCTGTATTTTTCCAGAATATATTTGTGGAAATTATTGCTATTTTTTCACCATGGAATGGCAGTGCGTTTGGGAATCTTGTTCAAAAAATTATTTCAGTAGAATATCTGCACTTTATAAGAAATCACTGGAAGTATTGTATCGTCTCTTATTTGATATCCGATAACAGAAAAATGTTCATTGGATGAATTATATAAAATAGATTCTCTTAAAGTTTCATATAATATCATGAACAATAATCTGAAATCCAATTTTGTTTTGAAAAGAAACTCAGAAATTCATGGTCATCACACGAGACAATTAAACTTATTTCATCTTGATTCTGCTACTTCTATAATTGATCAAAAAAAATTTACTCACGCTGCTCTAGCTGAATTCAATTAATTACCACATGATATTAAAAATTGCAGACACATTTCAAAATTTGAAATTGAATTAAAAAAACACATGATTTTATTACGAAATGGATAAAATTGATACTTTGCCATCTACTGATTAGTCCCTGTGGCCATTTTTATGACTTGATCGATTTAGCATATTTAGATTTTTTAGTATTTTTTGTTGTCGTTGTTGTCACCTTATGTTATTTCATCATTGTTGAGAATTCTATTTCTGACTGGAAGTTAGCTTCTCAATAAACAATAATCGATTATAGAAACTAGGACGAACGTAGGGCGAATATATACCAAGTTCAAAAATGTGATTCACCAAAAGGGCGAATATCCACAAACATGTGATTTATAACGATATTTTCAACTTTCCCTCAGTTTTATCAAGGGAAATATGTTCACCAACCAAAATGCCACACTAAATTGTGAACTTTTTTCTAGTACCTTGCTGACGTGATCTGGAATAGTTTTTCCCGTATTCCTCGAAAGCGTCATTTAGCGTATTCGCCCTTTTGCAAAAATACGATCGAATTAAATTCGAGTATGCATGGGAATCTCGGAAACGGTGAGAGCTACAGGGAGGGTTAAATAGAGGCAAAGTTGCATATTATGGAGCTCATTACTATGATGTTGGAAAATCTGAGCTAGCCCTCTCACTTTCAGAGGTATACAAGAAAAAACGAAAAAATTGATTTTTGTTTTCCACTTATATCCACTTTAGTACAATAGATTTCCAGAAACTGTTTGCACTTTGTCATTGCAACTCTCAATGGGCTGTGAAAATATGTAAACGAAAGTGTTTAACAGGGTGTTGTTTACCTTGGGCCACCGCTAACTATGAAATTCTATATACGGTATATACTGTGTATCGCACTTCTTCGAAAAAGGTGTTTGTTTTAAATCCTGATAAAAATCTATTCTTTGTCCCTCTTCTGCACATGAGTTCATAAGTCATTAGCAGTTGATCGCGAGAGCTTCTGGAATCGTTCGCGAAAAAATAAATAGGTAATAGCATTGAGTATTCACACTAGTTAAATAATCAAGGATAATAGTCACCCTAGTCATCAGGAGCGTCCGCATAGGGGCCCGCTAGCATCCCCTCTAGCCCAGTCCTTACTCAGATACATTCTCAATAAAATAGGATTGGATTATTGAATCCCTATTCTGTTTGTCGGTAACATGGACGTATTTTTATACGTCCATGGTCGGTAAGATGAGGCTCACAAACTATTGGACTTTCTGCCTAAATGAATAAATGATCTAGATAAAAAAGCTCACACTGAAATGTTCAGTCAATTACACATTGTATAGGTTCAAAAACAATGTTATAGGAAACTTGAATGAATAATGTCGAGTAGATGAAATAAAGTCTGGAGAATTTTAGATACAGAGAATGTAAGACTATCTTTCGATCCATAATATGTATATTCAAAAAAATTGCAACTCTTTCCATTAAACTCGAATAATGTGTGATGATAAATTAATTCATTCAGTTTTTGTTTCCATTTCCATGTTCTATATAGAATGATAGTTATTTATTATGCAAGGGAAAAAAGTTGTGGATACCGTTATGACATTTCTTTAATATGCAAACCCAACTCATTTTGCAGTGTTCTACCTACCCTAGCAAGGGGGTTACCCCCTGTATATTGAAAAACTGAAGCACTATCATTATTATACTCACAATGTCCTCAGATCTGACATATTGGCGAATGAACCATCTTCTATCACCCTTAGGCTGTAGAGGTTTGAAAGGGTGCTACAAAATAAAAGAATTATGCTATATACTAAAGTTAGGAAATATAGGGTGCGTGAAAAGTTGTTTGATATCAAAATCCAGATCTTTTTAGCCACCACTTTCCCCGACAAAATTGTACAAAAGTAAAAAAAAACATTCTACTTTAAGTACTGCATGAATATGGTGAAATAGTAATATATAGAGTATAGACTGAACTGAGATAGTGTCAACTAGTTAGGAAACAAATTCTTGTTTTTCATTGTGTAATACCTCCATGATGATAAGTTTTATATTTTTTCTGGTTTTCCTATAGGGAAGGGGAAAACTCGTATGTTTTTCCATGAATTCTTGTGGACTGAACGTTTTTTGAATAAAAATCATCTCAATTTTCAGTTAAATCAATTCAACTCATGAAATAGCACGATAAAAAGCTTTGATTTTTTTCCTGGCATCCCTGATGGAAGACACTATACTCGTGATGTGTTTTTTCATAAAATTATGCGGACTAGGTATTTTTGAAAGTATAATCTCATCTCAATCAATCATCTGATGTAATAAGACTACCAGAAAGCTGTGTTTCCTAGTCCTTCATAAAGAGCACTTTACTCGTATGTTCCTTCATGAAATCTTGCGGACTGTTTTTTTTAAAGTGAATTCATCTGAATTTTCACAAAAATACCATTTTCTTGAATACTTTTTTTCTTGTCCTCCTAGAGGGTATATACTTTACTCGTGTCTCTATTCATAAAAATTAAATAACACTACATCAAGCTCTTCAACTTTTTTCTAGCTTTCCTATAAAGACCACTTAACTCGTGTGTTTTTTCTTAAAATCGAGCGGACTGAAAGTCACAAAATTCAATCCAACTCATATAAGAATGGTTTTAGTTTGTTTGAGGATTTTTTTTATGATATGAAGAAAGAATAAAGTTGGTGCCAAAATTGATCCTTGTGGAACGGAATGGAACGCCGAAATTGATGCCAATGGTATCAGACGATACACCGTCCACCACCACGTGAAGCGATCTGCCTGAAAGAAAACTCGATAAGAGATGGCATAGCTGAGGTGGTAAGCCGTATGATAGTAGTTTTTTTGGAGGAGTCCTTCGTGCCAAACACGGTCGAATGCTTTCGATATGTCCAACGCGACAGCTAGAGATTCCCCGTATTTTTCTAATGAAGCTTGCCATAAATGGGTGACGTAGGCAAGTAGATCTCCAGTAGATCTTCGGTGGCGAAAGCCGTATTGTCTATCATTGATGATTCCTGAGCTCTCCAGATATTTGATAAGCTCAATATTGATGGCTTTCTCCATCACTTTGGAGATTACTGATAACAGGGCAATGGGCCTATAGTTGTTGGGCCGGTTCTTGTTCCCTTTTTTGGGGATCGGTTGGACTCTAGCTGTCTTCCAGCATGATGGAAAAATACTCGACCTGTACGAGACGGTAAACAACTTGAAATAATATTGATATTTTTATTTCATGGAGACGAGGAGAAAATCTCAAATAATCTGGAATAATGAATGTACCGCCTCCTCGATTAACCTACAGACAGTAATAATGCTTGAGTTGAAGCATATTTTTTTGATGAGAGATTTTTTTTTGGGTGGGTTCTTCTTCTTCTTCTTCTTCGAAGTACTGGTGGGCGGGTGAACGCCCTGCAAGTGGGTTATTCGGGCCCATTGTGCGCCCACATGTTACGACATTCAGCTGGGTATGCCGACTGCCTTGGAGAAGTTCAGAAGTTTGGGTGGGTTATGTACCAAATATTATCTACCAGTAAATGAATTGTAATACAAATATATGAAAAACCTTCACAGTATGGCCCAGATCAGACATTAAACTCACACGTCTCTCATCTCCTTCCTGTAGGGGTCAAAAGAGGACCTTGTGATGCACTTGATGTGGCTGTCTGTGACCGTCAACTTCCTTAGCGATCGCGACAGATTTCCAGGTATTTCCATGAGCGTTTTTCCGTAGCAGTGGACGTCAGTGCCATCTTCGTTTTTTAGATCGCACCTATACGAGGAAAAGCCGCGGTCCTTGTAGTTGATGACGTCTTCTTCGAAATTGTGAGCTTTTATCGAAAATATCACCGCTGTGCTCCAGATAACCATACAGCGCATGACCTGAGAAAAATATAAATAAATAAATATACTACCCAGAAATAATGAATAAAATACATCAATTTATCCATATATAGTTTCTACCCATGGTTCGATTCCACTATAAGCTGTAGGCCTCGCTCTTTCTAACCTCACACAAGTTTCGACTTCTGGGGAGTTGTTCCCATTTTCGAAGAAGCCATATACAAATTTTACGAATTTACAAAAAAACGCCACGATGACGTATTAGCGCCATAGTATTATTTTCATTTCTTTCAGAATGTCAAGGTTTTTTCACAAAGTTTAAAATTTTCGCTCAATATTTCAGGATTTTCTTGTGAAAATTCAGAAATCAAGGATTTCGATTGTCTCTCTCATATTCTTCAACTAATTCCAAACACTTCAATATTTCATGGTAGCTCAAATCAAGGAAGAATTATTTATCGGTTTTCTGAATATTATAAGAAAAAATTGATCAAGCTATATCTCAATGTTGACAGGCAGCTAAACTAAGCACCGATTGGCATTTTACGTAGATTTCTTCATAGGGCAGGTACAAGCGTCCCAATACGACTTGGTATATCGTTGACGACAAGATAATAGAGAGTTGAAGTGTTGTCATGAACGTTAACGTAAACGTAGAAATTGACAGCTACGCATGCGCATTTTCCAATTCTTCACGTTTGCGTTGTTAGTGGGCTTACGGGTGTACGTTATCTCACGTTCCTTCACGTATACCTTAAATATCAAAGTACGTTAACCAAACTATACTCGAAATATGTCGATGAGTCAAAATTATCAAATTCGAGATCACCAACGAGTTCTGCATCAAGGAGTCCTCTAATTTTGACAGGAATAAATGTTCGAATCTAAACACACAACCAAAAATCACCAATACAAACCGAAACCAAATGTATTATTACGTTATGATGATAGTGACGACCAAAGTGGCGACTTCAACTCAACTTAACGACAATACGTAAACGTTATTTTTCGTACGTTAACGTCGACGTGGAGGTCTACGTACAGTGATTACTTCAACTCTCTATTATAGAGAGCTTCCGGAAGCGTAAAGAGTTTTGAGCTCGAGCCATTTGTGGTGAAATAAACAGAGGTGTAAAAAAGTGAAATAATATTGATGGATCTAGGGGGTGCACTGGCCCCTAGAGCCCCCCTTGGTTGCGCCTCTGACCACAACTTATATGGATATTGAACACTATATAATTATATATAAGTTGATCAATGTATTGTGCAGTTTTCCTGGGTATAGTAACATATATCCAGATCTGATAAAAAAGTTCCTAATATCCTAATATTTTTACTCTTGTAAAACACTCTTTATTCGGGAAATATCGAATCCTGCAAATATAGGTTACAACAACCCATTGCCAAGAGGATCGTTGAAAATATAGTGGTGCTTGCAATGATAAATAATGTTGCTAGGTAGAAAATTGGAAACCTCACATTATTCAGAAAAACTTGATAATTGAAAAGGTAGGAAAACATTGTAAATTGATTTCAAGGTATATGTCGAGCATTATGAAAATGTGATCGAAGAAATTCACGAAACTTCTCATCAAATTGGGAACATGGAGAACTTTTGCAATATTTCACAGAGGTTCATTCGTCTTCCTGTATCACCGCATAACCACATGTCATCATGTTTTTTCAACTGCGATCAATATTCATATCCCCGATTCCTGAAAATATGTTTCTGATAGAATACAGTTCCGATGGAATACGGTTCCGATGAATTACTGAACTGAACTATGAAATACAGTGCCGATGAATTGATGTGCCGATGGAATACAGTTCCTATTCGATACGATTTTGATGAAATACAATTCTGATGTTTTACTGAAGCGACGAATTACGGAACTGATAGTTTACTGTTGCTATGGAATAAGGTTCTGTAGAATTATCATTCCTATGTAGTATGGTTCTTATAGAATACCCTATCGATAGAATGAGATTATGATGAATTACCGTGATGATGAAATACGGTTCTGATGAATTAGTGTTTTGTTCGAATACGGTTCTTATTCAATACCATTCTGATGGATTACATTTTGACTCACGTTTTGTTATTATGCTACGAAGTACGGTTTTATGTTTTACATAAATAACAATTCTAAAGAATACAGTAACTATCAATTACGGAACCTACGAATTTCCATTTGATGGAATATATTCTTATACATTATATTTTGATACTTTATATTCTGACGTTTTGGGTGTTCCCATTCCTGATTGATAGATAATCTTCAAAATAAAAGGAACCGCATCCGAATATTGTGTTATTATTGCGAAAATATTTTATGTTGAGTTTGGTGCGAAAATGTTAATGTGGTTCATTAAATTAGCAGTTATTTTGGAACAAAGTTTTTTTTTTTAGTTTTTGGATGTATGATAAATTGATATCCATCATACAGGACGTGGAAATAAATCCTGAATTGAGAAAACGAATCTGCGATTTACCTTGTTTTTCTCTTCCGCAACCAAATCCACTTGTATGTTTGAAAAATATGGATAAAACATTTACTTCTTTATAACTGTAGAAAATATGTATATTTGTTTACGTAAGGCTGTTTAAACAATATTTTAGGAAATCAGTGTGAAATACTTATGAGTACTGATGCCACTGATGGTGTCCAATAATCAATGGTACACAGTGAAACTGCAAATTCCCTAGCTGAAAATATTGAGATTTGGCTACACTATAATTATTATACCAGATAATCATTTTCAAAGTGCGGGATGGAAATGATGAAATATGCATAGATTAACGAGTCCCCAATATAGGCTCTACTTCTGTCTATAGGTAGGATTCGTCAATGTGACAAAAAGGTTATTGTGGTTTATTAAAAGTTGAGGTATGTATATAACTTCCGTCCTTCGAATAAAACTCGACTGATCTCTTAAATTTTCTGGAACGGTATTTGGAGGTGGGTCACAAACTGTAGTCATGAATGAACCACCCGGTAGACATATACAATGAAAGAGGGTTAGTAAAGAAATATCGAATGAAAATAATTTCTTATATTGACAAAATATCAAGAACGGAAATGATGGATGGATAAATATTTCACTTCACGCACAACATTGTGGTTTGCTACCCTTATAATCGACATTTTGAAGTTTTCGAATTTAGTGGAAAACAGGGACGAGCCCTTGGGGTTAAGGGGTTCTACCCCCCTCCCAATCCTAGGCGAGCTGACAAATTGAGTTTGGGAAAGTTTCACAAAAAAAAACGTTTCATGGTAAATATTCGTTTTTTCTGACTTTGAACTAGGGATTTCCTACTTCGAACTAAGAGTTTCCAACTTCAAAAACATGAAATTTCGATTTTGTTGTCAGAATTTGCAAGTTTAACCATGAAGAAAAATTACATTATCAGTTCAAACCAGAAACTTTCAACTGCAAACTCGACCTTTCCGACTGATTAGTAGTAGATAATTTGAAGCTTGAAGTCGAAAAATTCAAATTCCGAATTTTTTTCTTGGAGATATCGAGTTTCAAATCGGAAAATGTGATTCCTAGTTACAGGTTTTTGATCTGAAAATATACTCTGTACAAACCGGGCTCATAGAAAATGAAAATTTTCGTATCCCAGTATTCCCAGAAAAAACTCGGAATTTCGAAATTTCCTACTGATGAGAAAATATCATATTGTGAATGAATCAAAAGACAACACAAGACAACCGCGTCGTCCTTCGTATTATTCATGGAAAATATGGGTGTTAAGGAACTATATTTTTTATTCAAATTCAACAAGTCTAACATGAAAATCAACCTATTAATGCCCTGTCCAATGAATTCGTTGTCACAAAATTGACTCCCGATATTTCTATGGGACATAGAACATCGAACATCCAGAAACATAGTCGCTCTTATTATAAACTTGTCCTCTATTTTGATTCGAATATTTCCTCGCTCTTCTTGAAATATTTCTGATTTAAGGATCACATCCTGATTTTTTTTGATTTCTGCATGCTCCTTCTGAATTAGCTCCTCCATAGTAGTGATCTTAGAAGAATACACAATAGATTCAAGATAACTCTAAAGGCGATATTCCACGGTATTTGAATCGGGTGTTCTTGGAGGCCAGTTATGAGGACACCCCGCGCAATCCACGTATCAGGAAAATTAACGATTTATGAAATTTCTGACTGAAATCTATAATTCACAGAATTGAAAAACAATGTAGAGGAATGAATCAGGATGTCATCCGAAAGTCTGTGAGAAATATTGTGAAAAGGACAAGAAAATGTTTGGATCAAGATGGAGGGCACTTTGAGCAATTGTTATGATTGTTTGTGGTAGGTAAATCCAAGCAATTTGCGGTAATGTTTGTTATTCGATTGGAAAAATCAAAACATTTCATTTTTACCGATCCAAATGCATGAAACCTCAAACGCAGAATCTGAAATGGAAGAGCATGCAGATTTTCGAAAATCCAGGGTGTTCTTCTTGGGACCCAAAAATATTATCAATTTTCGTTAATCCGGACCTGTTTTTTTCTTGTGACTGATAAACAAGTCGCTTGGGTAGAAGGAGGAGATTTTGTGTATCAAAATCCAAATAAAATATCCTGGAGGAGGGTTCGTAAGTTATGTCCTTTCAATGAATTGAGCAAAATTGATGAAACACCCTATATGTCGAATATAAAACTTGTAAGACCCTATACAAAATGTAAGAAGTATTCCCTGAACTGTACTACAAATATGGTATATTCAAATCGAAGGAAATGAGGCACCTGATCGCCTTGCAAAAAAAGGTGCAGCATCTGCACTCTTTGGTCCTGAGCCTTTTTGTGGGACAAGCAAATGTCACCTAAAGGGACAACACAGGAAATGGAAAGAAATTGAGTCCTCCTACTGGAGAGCAACTACAGGTCAACGACAAGCGAAAAGGTTCATCAACCATTCGCAGAACCGAGCCAAAGAGCTACTCAGCCTCAGCAAACCAGAGCTAAAGTTTTTCACAGGCTTTCTCACCGGACACTGCCCTCGGAGGTACCA